CTGGGCTATGCGGCTGATTCCCACTAGCTATCTATTTTACGTTTGGTAGTGTATATATGTCCATGCCACTCTCTCACTTTGTCCCAGCTTACCCTTCCCCCTCCCCGTGTCCTCAAGTCCATCCTCTAGTAGGTCTGTGTCTTTATTCCCATCTTGAGCAAGATTTTCTGATGTGAAAAATTCTAGAGGCAGAACTGGAGAGAAAAAAAAGAGCCATCCTGTGACCCAAAGGCTGGCAGCCAGTCTGTAGAGCAACAGAGATTTCTTGAGTCTCACCAAAGCTCAGATCCCAAGCTGTGCTGAAGAAAGTTACGATTCTGCCCTCAAAATATTTGAAGCCAGTGGTTAACTAAATCGAAGTAAAGCCTCAGAAAATGACCAAGTTCTGCTCACTTACAGATTAATTTGAATCAGCTTCCAAGTCTAGTTGTCTGACTGAAGAAAGGGTATGCCTTATTCTGGGGGTAAATATTATTTATTTCAGTCCTTTAGTACAATGTTCAGCATGCAATATAAAATTACAAGGAACACAAAGAAGGAATGAAAGATGACCTGTGGTCAAGAAAAGAGACAGTCATTAGAGGCAAACACAGAAATGCTCCAGATGGTGAAATAATTCGGATAGGAACATTAAAATAACTATGATAAATATATTACAGAATCTATTGTAAAAGTTGCACAGCATGCATAAAGAGATGGAAATTTCATCAGAGCATTGGAAATTATAATAAAAAACAAAAGGAAATTCTAGAAACATAAAATATCAGAAAATTTTTAGATATTTGATGGGCCTAATTGTAGAAAAAACAGAAGAGAAAAGAATCAGTTTACTTGAAGACAGTCAAATTATTCAAGCTGATAAAGAGAGGAAAAATCCAGAGTCTAAGTAAAGCCTTAAAAAAAGAATAAGCTCAGCTCATCTATGTATTAATTTGGCTCAGTTTTCACTCGAGGTCTGTGAGATAATACTACATGATCAAACATGTATAACTGAATTCTCAGAGTAAAGATGAGAGACAATGAGGCAGAAAAATATTTGAAGAAATAATGGCTGAGAATGATCCAAAATTGAGGAATGACATTAACCCACAGATTTAATAAGCTCTGTAACCCCCTAGGAGAATATATACAAAAATATTATACCTACACATACCATAGTTAAAGGTGTGTGTAGGTATAATATTTTTGTATATATTCTCCTAGGGGGTGAAAATCAAAGATAAAGAGAAAATTTTAAAAGTGCCTGTGGTAGGGGTGGAGATGAGGATGTGTGTGTTGAGGAAAGCACATGCCATACAGAAAACAATTATAAGAATTACATATGACTTCTCATTAGAAATAGAGGGCAGAGTACGATGGAATACAAGAGTATATACTGTATGATTCCATTTGTATGAAATACAAGATGAAATAAAATTTATCTGTGTTGATAGAAATTACACAGTAGTTGCCTCTGAAGTGAAGAATTGACTCGAATGGAGCAGGAGGGAACTTGTGGTGGTGATAGAAGTTTATTTAGCTTGTTTTGGGTGATGGTTACGTGGGTGTATACAACTGTCAAAATGCATGAAACCCATGATCAGTGTATTTTTAAATATAAATTATACTTCTGTATTTTTTTCAGAAGCCAATCGAAACATCAATATCGTTTAGCAAAAACATTAGTGATCATGTGATCTAGAATGAAATTAAGCACTGAAGATTAGCAAGGGACAGCATGTAATACTCCCCTGGGTCACAGGCACATTATTTGATCAGCACTCTTTCTCTGACACTGAGTCTATGCCCGTAAGAGAGTATAGCCTCCCCCAGCATGTTTTTATTTTTTAAGATAAAGAACTTCCTCATCTTATGCTGTTACAAACATGCTTGTTCCCCACACAGAGCAATCCATTCATATCTCACATTCTCATAATAATCCAATCAAGGCTAAAATATAAAAAGTATGATTTTATTAAAAGCAGGATACTGAAAAACCCAAACTATTTCTTAGCATAATCATACCTCTATTGCTATGAATACCTTTATTCATATATAAATTTCATATGTATAGTAATATAATAATATATGCACATACTGAGTGTATTTAATTTGATGTTCTGGAAAAAACAGTGCTAGAGATCACAGTCTAATGAGTATTAAAATAATTAATACAGCTCCTATGAATCATTTAATTTTTTGAAATGTTAACTCTGTCATATACTAATTTTAAAAATACCTTAAATTAGAAATTTTCTAGTTATTGGTCATGTATATTAGCAAGCTGAGCATCTCTTACATAATGAAGATAAACAGGCAAAATAACCTCATCCAAGAAAATGAAAGGTACTGCTGTAGTGATGACATTGGGGCAGGTTTGAAATGGATTCATCATTTTGTAAAGAACCCACTATTCCGGGGTCAGTCTCTCAGGATGGTAACTACTTTGTAATAACAAAAAGAATGAGTGATCATAAGGTTGGGGCAAAGGTGAGTTAGGACAAGGATGCTTTAGACTATTTGATGCAGAAGAAGGAGAAGGAAACTAATAATTTATTGAATACCTTTTATGTTCCAGACACCTTTCTGGGCACTTTTTATATGTTGTCATTTAATTATCTCAGTAGCCCTGCAAATTTGGATGAGAAAGCTGGGCTCAGATACTGAGTGGCTTGCTGAAACTTCACATAGTGAATATATGGCAAAGCCAACTAACGCTAAGCCCATGCTTTTGTAACTGTCATATTCTGTATTGCCCGAAGGATATAAAGATATGGTAATTTAGAGGAAATTTCACCTCAACAGAAGTAATAATGTCTATTGATCAGTGTTGTCTAATCAAGAAACAGGCTGCTTTAGGAAGTAAAAAACACTCTCTCATTAGAGCTATGCAAGCAGTAACTAGAAGATCATCTTTCATAGACTCTAGGAATGCAATTCTGTTACTGGATAGGAAGCTGGAAAAATGTCCTCCAAAACTGTTTCATGTCTCTAACTTCACAAAGCATTCTAGAAGATTAATGGCTTTTCAGCTACAACTAAAAATGAAATAAAGAAATGGAAATTAAAGGAGCCAGCCTTCAAACCTGTACTCCCTTTTAGTATCAGCAGCATAATCTTAAAACAGCAGAACTTCTTGCTTTGTGTGCCAGAAAGCATGGTTCAGAGTATCAAAACTGTTAAGAAGTGAGCCCTGGAAAACCATGTCCACTTGGTCCTTTTTATTCTTCCTGGTGTACAAAAATAGAGAGACTTTTAATGAAGTTTATTGTAGTTGTTTCTAATATTATATTACCTTAAACTTGAGGAATTTACTGACAGGGGAAGTTGGTGAGGTTAAAAGGTGAATGTATTCCTATAATGATTAAACACTTATTTAATGAAAATATATTTTAAGCAGCATTAACAGTGACTTCAAAGTACAACAGAATAACAATGTGCCAAGAACAATGCATAAGGCATTTATTGGCAGGTGATGATGTTTTTTGTATATTGTATGGTGTGACAGAGAAAGATGACCAAGGGCATGTAAAAATCTGACATTATCATGCAAATATTTTTCTTTATTAACTTTGGTTTGGTTTAATTATAGCAGAAATTATTTTATAATTCATTTAAATGAAAATAAATAGAAAATTATATCTTAATTCCTTTTCGAGAAAATACATTATTTTTATTTTGAAAATTGGTACCTACCTTGAACAGTTTCAGCTTTTATAAGCTCAACTTCATAAAATATTTGATAATTTTTTAGTCACTGCTCACCATATAAGAAGGGACAAGTGCATTTATCACTGAAATACTATCCTAGATTTACCTACAGCCATTTTAGTTCTAACACATTTTGAAGGATAAAATATTTCCTTACTGTAAGTTCTTAACATGTCCTGAAGGTTTTTGTTTTGTTTTGTTATGTTTCCTGTTAAAACATACAAACTAACAAACTAGATAATTTATTCAGCCCTGAAACACCCAAGTGAATTGAAAACTCCAGGTTTAAATCCCCTCTCTTTTCCTTTTTTTTTTTTTTCTTGGTCTACAAAACAGCAAAGAAGTAAATGAGGCCAGATTCACAGTTTTCCAAAACATTATGAGGTGGCTGTTTTCATTGCTTTAGAGTTTTGCTGGAAGACAATTGACTTCTGCTTTGATGCCTTTGTTTCTGTTGCTATAAGTCTTCACACTGCTTGCTTCTAATAATGCCATAGCTATTAAAGTAAGCTGTTGTGTAATTTCTATAACACATTTTTTCTAGCTAGGTGTGAAAGTGTAGAATAATAACAAACCATCACTCATCCGCATGTGTGTGTGTTTGTGTGTGTGTGTGTGTATTTTGGCATTGTGATAGCAGTATACATTCATCGTTTTATAGTTATGCATAATTAATACATGTCTTCTAACTAATAGCTAACATATAATTAGGAAATTCAAATTCCAGAACATTGATATGAAACCTGTAAAATCCTGATGGAAATTTCCATATTGAAGATTTTTATAAAAGTGCCTATTTGCTGTTGCAGTTACTTTTTGAAAGAAAAATTTCACATAAAAATCTAACATAACCCACACCCCCAGGAATTTCATGTTCATTTCAACTTCAAAGAGAAGCAAACTAGGCATGGCAGTAGAAAATACAAAAAGTTTTATAGATGAATTTATTTGTTATTTAGTGTTTGGTTAATGTTGCAGTACATTGAAAAGGGAGTTATTACAATGTGATGTTTTTGTTTTGTTTTGTTTTACATTTAGGAGGTCCTAAATTAAACTTACCCAACAAATAAGGGGGAGGCACTAATGCTAGTGAGAATATTAGTTTATATTTGCTTTAAGATGAGAAATAGAAAGAGGGAGAATCTACATTGCCAAAACCACTGACAGTTTCTTATTTGCGAAATCACACTAAAAGTCTGCTCTGCTTTGTGGGAAGTACTTTTAGGAGTAGATTTCTTATGTGGTTCGAGATATGATAAAAAATTATGATAAAAATTATATAAAAAATTATCCTATTCTTATGCTTATAGGTTCTTATTTCAAAGAACTTCCAACTCTTCTCCACTGTGCAGCAAAATTTGGCCTAAAGAACTTGGCTGTTCATTTGCTTCAATGTTCAGGAGCAACTTGGGCATCTAAGATAAAAAATTTGGAGGGTTCAGATCCAGCACATATTGCTGAAAGGCATGGTCACAAAGAACTCAAGAAAATCTTTGAAGACTTTTCAGTAAGTTCTTTTCCATTTTATCTCTAAAACTCTTTTTATAAAATTAATATGTATGTATGTGTGTGTGGGTACATGCACATTGCTCTTGAAAATGATGCTACTGTACAGCTAGTTTTTAGCGTCTGTTGGTCCTGAGTCATTCATTGACTTAAGCATTTTGCAAGATTATTCAACTTGTTTTCATATGCCATAAACCAGCTCTGAGTCCACACTCCCACCCCTAAATAGCCCCTTTGAAACTTATCTGGTCTTTCTGGCTTCTAAATAGCCTGTTCAGTATTGGAAAGGAGATGTTACCAAGGAAATGAAAACCTATTATTTTTCATCTTTTGTTCAAAAGTCTAAGTAGGCGCTGTTAGGCACGTAAAGTGAGATAAATATATACTAGGTTAAAGGAATATATTTTGATAATTATTCAAAAAGTCTACCCAATAAAAGGCTAATCCATGTTGCTTAACTTTGTTTCTAATATGTGATTGATTCCCTTTCTCTCTCTGTTAAGTCCCAGTTCTTTATTGTGTGTGTTGAAACTCCAAATTTCAGAACACCCTTTGAAGGATATTAGTTCTGTAAGAATGCAACCAAGGGACGATTGAAGGAGGGGATACTACCTTAGTACATAAAACACACTTTGTGTTTCCTTAACCAACCTTAGAAAAGCAATTATTTTCTGTTTGGAACAAAGGTATATGCACATTTTGCTCGAGAAAGTGAATTATACTTCTGATGGCTCTTAGGAAAATATAATAGGCAATTATTGTGTTGGTGAATATGTCAGAATTTGTCTTTGGATTCTCAGAAGATAATTTTATTGCCAAAGAACAGTTAATATAGAACATTGAAATGCTTCTGGTCATTTTAGCATATATTCCGATTATTAGGTTAAGTAAATGTAATATTGGACTTCTAAAAACCATCGGTATTTCTGATTTCCAGAGAGTAAAGTGACAACCGGTCTAACTTTTTTCTCCACTTTTAAGAAATAGCAAATAGTTATCAGAAGAGCATGGGTATCATCCACCATCTGGAACTACTTGTATTTAAAATACAAGTATTTATTTTATTTACAATAAATACAGAAATTAAGTTTTGTAATAAAATTAATAAACTACTTTTTTATATTCTGTGTCCTTCAAATGAGGAATAAGCATAATTTTTATTCATGGAAAGGTTTTAGATAGTTGATTGTCATATATCCTATGGATGCGTTCATTTTAGTTATTATCCACTGTACATAGTCATTGACCAATGCAACATGGCATCTATCGCAGGTAAGTCAATGAATCAATTCAGCCTTGTAAACTGGCCCACAATAGTCCTATTATTCCTACATCCTGGGTACTCAATTCTCTACAACCTTATTCTCAAATTTTTAACCACTGGTGGACGGAAGTTAAAATTTCCCCTAAAAGTCTTCAACATCCAGGGTTACTTTCCAAGATGATCCCTGATTTTCAAAGGGTGACGCTTCCACTTATGGTTCTCCAATGAGGACTCAGCTTTTAACAGATGCAGCCCCATGCAAAACTGCACATACTTCATAAATAACATAGTACTAAATAATAATGACAGTAGATACAAAAGCAACTATGAGGGTAGGATTTGATGGATGTGGGAAATGATTTTTTTTCTCTCATCCTCTGGGTATTTATACCTTTATTCCTGCAATAATAGCATTGATACCAGTAGATTGGTATCACTGTCTATAGGTGACTATTTATTCTTTCATAGTGGTTGCATTCTAATTTTGCAGTTATACTTGATAATTAATTATTCTATGAAATTTGTTAAATTATTTCATGCATTCTGTTTCGTTGTGAGCTGTTACATTTTGCCAGCATGTCTATAGTAGACATTGACATTATAGGTAGGACAGATCAATTATTTTGCAGATGTGCTGCTGTCACTAAGGAAGTGACTATGGAAGTGTGTCAGATAAACACATGTTGAGACTTTATACTATAAATTATAGTAGCTATGTCTTTTTAAAATTATATCTAAACTTAATAGAGAAAAAATGTGTGATCTATTTGCATTGCTGAAATACTTTATTGTTTCTTTCATAACATTTACATAGCTTTAATGTTATAACCACATTCTGATAAATCTCAGATTTGTCACATATGCATTCAAATTTTCCATGAACTATTTTTCAGAATTGTTGAAAGGAATAGATATTCTTTCAGTTTGCAGTTTATAATCCACCAATTGACCATACTTCTGTACTGAAGAAATATATATATTTTAAAATTCAAACATACCCCGCAACTGATTTACCGATTTCTTCAATTCTTCCTAGTCCTCCATCAGTGAAACATTGTTCATTTTAGAATCTCACAGGGAGTTACAACACAGTGAGTTCGGTCATTGCTGAATAAAGTGGGTAGGCAGAACGAAAAAGTTGCTCATGACTTTTAAAAATAAAGATAAAAAGAGAATCATTAGCAAGCATTCATAAACGAACAAGTGCCATCCATCTCTTAGTGTTATAGCTATAGATGAATAAGGAGGAAGAAGGAGGAGCCTCAAATCACATTCTTGGTATTTCTTCGTGGCGTTTTTTACTTTGAAAGGTTAATAATTTATGTATAACCTATGAATAGAGACGTTTGATTAGTAATGAGTAGCTTTCATGTTTTGATAGTTATCTAATTAACAACTACACTTGTTTCATGTTTTCAGTACTATTATAGATAATAATGCCACACATTTCTATAACCCATAAAGTCTTTCAAATAAACTACTCAATTTTCAGTTTCTGACAATGCCTTCTAGAAGAATTAATATGAAAGGCGGATGGACAAAAAGCCACAGGATTGGTGTTTAATTCCACAGTTGAGTGTGAACCACAGTCTGCTTCATAGAATTCTTGAGGAAATCTCAGACTATTTCAAATAACAAGTAGCAATACTGACAACTAATTCAGTCCTCTAAAAACTTACCTTTTAAGTCAGAAATACCTGAGAATTTGAAACTAAAGTGGAACTTGGCCACAGATTACAAGATACTTTGCGATTTAAGATAAAGTGTACAGCCAAAATTAGAATGTGTTTTAAGCAAAATAATACGTGATATTTCTTTGTGTTATCTTGAGTATGTCACCCCATTTACCTCCATTAGTTTTAAACACTTCAGAAAATGATTAGATCATGTGTATGTAGACAGGGAAATATATCCTCCTCTGTGGGCCGGCTCTGGAATTGGAGAACCAACAGGTGATTACTAGGAACAATATCCACTTAGTATCTTTTCTCTTCCACCACAGTGTTCTCTCGTATAGTTTGATGTATATATTAATAAGATCTTAATCATGCATAATCTTCATGAAAATTTCAGAAATAGAAAGTCACTTTCTCTCGCTGACTTTTCAGGAGGACTCCTAACTGGGAATGTTTCTGTTGCTCACATCTGTGATGGGATTCTTGTGACAGCCTGCTCTCATTGACTTAGCCTGACACTGCTGTTTGTCCCTGTGGACGGTGGGCTAGTGTGTGTATGTGTGTGTGTGTGCGCCCACGCGCACCAGAGGGAGAGAGAGAGCACGAGGTTGATTCTGTCGCCCTCTAGTGTCTGTCTGATAGACAGTGACCCTGATCTTTTTCAAACGGTCAAGGGTTTGGAATGACAGTACAGAAGCGATGTTGAAGCACCTGGAGTATCCCTAATATAGAGCAAAGGCTGACTGATTGGTGTAGGAACCCATTACTCGGAAGTTAGGCTTTATGCTTAGGCCAGTGAACATTCACCTTTCTTGGCCCATTATTTCTCTCAGTCTTGGCTTTGCTCATTTGGTACTTTCTCTAGAGCAGCGGTCCCCAACCTTTTTGGCCCCAGGGACTGGTTTCGAAGGCAGTTTTTCCATGGACGAGGTGCGGGGGAGGGAGGGGGGACGGCGGAAGGTTCAGGCAGTAACGTGAGCGATGGGGTGCAGCAGACGAAGCTTCACTGGCTCTCCTGTGCCGCTCGCCTCCTGCTGTGTGACCCCGGCTCCCAACAGGCCTGGACTGGTATCGGTCCACAGCCCGGGGGTTGGGGAGCCCTGCTCTAGTGGATTATTCCATTTAATTTAGTAAATATTAGTATATGCTAATTCCCTCTAAATGGCAGCATACCCTGCTTTGCTTATGTAGTTTTTCTTTCTCGTAAGTCTAGAAGCTAATGAGGAGTAATGGGCTCCCTTCCCCTCCCACCATCAGGTACCCAGGAGGTGCTCAGCATATATTTACTCATTGACGGGACAGAAGGCAAGTGTCAAATTTAAGGACTTGTTTGATTTCACTTACCCAGTAATATCCTTAACCGGATCCCATGTTTTAAAAAAATATTGCTCATATTCTTTCTATATTCAGGATATTTTTTAAGTTTAGGTTTAGTATATTCATAGACGAATAACACAACTGCTATCTTCAGCATTTATTTTTAATACACCAGCCTACAATGAATTTTAGAATTCTGGCCTTTGTTCAAAACTGATGTTCTGTTAGAACTGAAGAAACTGGAACAAGTCACATAACTGCACTTGAGGGCATGCATTACAAATTCATGTCTCAGTTATGCTTTTGGAGCTACTTAGCAGTCTCTTTCTAAAATCCCATTAAATGCACCATAGCGGTGCATTACAGAAGTTTATTCTTCCCCAAGTCCTCAAACTCAGTTTTGATGCCCTCACTCTGCAGCTCTAAACATCCTGTTAAAACTCCCTCAACTCCTTCCTCTTCTTTGTCAAATTTTTATTTTTCCTCTAGTCATGGGGTCTTGGGATTCAGCCACGTTGGATTTGAATCCTAACTTCATCAAATACCACGTTTGCATCCTTGAGCAATCTCTTTGTTTTCTCTCAGCTTCAGCTTCTTTATTTGCAAATAGGAAAAATAATTCCTTACAGGATGTTTTTAGGACTTGATGACATAAATATGAAAACATTAAAAGTATAGTAGATCCATAATAAATGATATTGCATTCACCTTATTTTCTTTTGATTTATTGTTATTCATATCAAC